CTGCCTCTTTCGGCTCCCGGTCAGACCAATTCGACAATCGCCTCCGCGTGTATCTCCAAGCGAAATGAACGCTACGCTACCGCCAAAGTATCCAGGCCACCTTCGAGAGCCACTTTCGCAACTTACCACACTCAAGCGTGAATGGTTGTATTCGGGCCATTTCGTTTCGGCTGTTAGTCCAAGTTGTACACAAGCCTATGAGTAGGCCTCAGGTTTGCACTGAATTGCTTCCAAAGAGCTATCGCCTCCACGCCAGAGCGCACTGTCGTTTCGACGCCACCTGAATTGGTCTCGTCAGCGCCTCGATTCCGATTCCTGCAAAACTGTAGCCCACTCAACCTTTTTGAATGAGGACACCTTTTTTACGAAGCAAAACGTGTGCGTGTGTGTGTTTGTGTTTGTGCACACTTCAGTGGAAACCTGAAGCCTGCTCATCAGACAACCGTCTTTGAAAGAGTAGTGTGAATACAGCCCCGCTCAGCGAATTGTTCCGAATCAGCCCCACTTGCTCAACACTCGTCTACCAATCTTCACTTGACGTAATGCTCACTCATCTCCTACTTGTATGCGTGACGGTAATCCATTTTCTCCTCTATCCCTTGGCCAGTCCATCTACGTCCAGTCATTCCTTACATCGCCCCGTCCACACGCACACATCTCTTGCAGTCTGTCAACTCATTCATCTGCCCATCGATCGTCTTGTCGGCGGCTGCCTCCTCCTGGCCAGACGGCCACATCAACTGCGCCAACTCAGCCAACATGGCCGACATATTATGCATGCCGTCTGTCTGTTTACACGCTCGCGACACACGAACAATGCACAACACAGCTCTATGCAGGCCCCGTCACCATCGCATTCGCTTCATTGCTGCCCTGTCCGATTTGCCTTGAACAACGGTCCGCAGCGTACGCACTCTATCGTCCCGCCTACTCGGCGCAGAAACATCAACGTCTGCACCGGATTTGACGGCCGACTGTATCGATTAGCCGGGCTAGATGCAACGAGCAGTCTAGCCAATGGGAGCGAGCTTGTCAGTTTGCTTTGGCATGCCGATTCCGCCAATCAGGCCGCCGCTGAAAATGCATTTCACCAGGGCCACATTACTTATGCCTGTGAACTTGAAAAGAATGTTGAGCCCTCTGCTTTGTGCAGCGTTACTTGAATATTAATGGCAAGTAGTACGTAGACGATGAACTGAAATTACGCTGCAGCCCGTCTGCCAATAGACAATATAGAATAGAGGCAACACTGGCCTTGAGCGTCTGGCAACTGACCAATACGTGGAAAGTTGACCTCCTTCTTGCACTGGCTCTTACCAAGTGCCGGATTGGTGACACTCCGCTCGGACGTGTCGGCCTAGCAACTGAAATAGACATTTGATTTAACGATTAACCATGGTCGACGCGATCGGGTGAAGTCTGGGCTTGTAGTTGACTCTAGTAGTGATGGGTATATGGCCGACCTGAAAAGCCAAATCGATTTAGCCTCAATCTCAACAGTTGTCAACTGTCCAAAGGTGGGTCATCTTCAAATAGACTGTCGGAACAGGATTCGTTTTTGCATCAAACTTCTAATATCAGTCGGGAGTCTGTTTGAGTAGTATTAAATAAGTTATTGTAAACGCCATAGGATTTGATTGAACTTCTCGAAAAACAAACAAACCCCAATTGAACTTGACCAGTCTTTCAGTGACTGCCACATGTCCTTTAAAGTAGGGACGAGAGAGCTTTTTGAGCGTATTGCAACTGACCTGTTTCTTTCCCATTTCTTCATAGCATGCATCTCTTT